CACTTTTGAAAGATGTGTGTGTGTGTGTGTACACACACATATACTGTATATACACGTGTGTGTGTGTGTGTGTGTGTGTATATATATATATATATATATATATATATATATATATATAGTATTTCATTATGTTACCACATCCCAACTTCATTGGAATTGGGGTTTGTAGTCTAGCATGGAACTCTTTCGAACAATAAATAAATATCCTCATGGAGGGAAAAAGACAAGGGAAATGATGAATAGTTAAAAATGTGTGGGTTGCCTACCTGGCTGTTATTGGAAAGTTTCATCAGATGAGTCATAAAGGCAGTGGGTTGAGAGCTTTGGGAATCACTGATCTGTTTCATCCTCAAGTAGCGTTCTGGGTCGAATAACAACAAAAACAAACAAAACACGGTGTGAGTGCAGTGAGTGATGTGCTGTGTCAACATTTTGACTGTGGCCACATCAAGAGGAGTTAAAAAAATGACATTAGTGATTCGACATCCCGGATGATGTTGTGGTCTCTATTTTTGTTGATTTGATTTAATTAGATCTAGTTTGGTCATGTTTTTGCGGCACGGTGGTCGACTGGTTAGCGCGTCGGCCTCACAGTGCAGAGGTGCATGGATCGATTCTGGCTGCGGGCCTCCTGTGTGGAGGTTGCATGGTCTCTCCGTGCCTGTCTGGGTTTTCTCCGGGTACTCCGGTTTCTTCCCACATTCCAAAAACATGCGTGGCAGGCTGATTGAGCACTCCAAATTGCCCCTAGGTGTGAGTGTGAGTGCGGATGGTTGTTCGTCTATGTGGGCCGTTCGATTGGCTGGAAACCGGTTCAGGGTGTACCCTGCCTGCTGCCGAAGAATGCTGGGATAGGCTCCAGCACCCCCGCGAGCCTTGTGAGGATAAGCAGATCAGAAAATGGATTGGTGGATGGATTGTCATGTTTTCCTTGTGTTTGTCTTGTTAGGTTTTTGGGCTGTTCTTCTTGTTGGTCCACTCCCTTGTGTCTACCAATCAGCTCCTTCATCCATTCGTTTCTCATCCTGGAGTTCCTCATTGTCTCGTCAGTTTGTTTGTATTTAATTCCCTGGTCTTCGGAAATACCAGGAAACTGGAACACATCACAATGGTCCTCAAATCACTACACCTGCTTTCAGTGAGTCAAAGAGCAAATTTTAAAATCTTGCTGCTGGTCTATAAATCTCAAAATGGTCTTGGACCAAAATACATGCAAGTTGTAATAGTACCCTACGAAACATTCAGATCCCTCAGCTCACCTGGGACATATTTCTTGTGTGTTCCCAGAACCAGAACCAAATAAAGTCAAGCAGAATTTAGTGACTACGATCCTCATCTGTGGCGCACTCAAACTGTCAGTTTATTTAAATCAAGGCAGAAAACATTACTGTTTAGCAAAGTATTTTCATGGACCTATCCTTTATTCTCTTGTTTTAATCACCATTTGCACGCTGAATTTTAATTTATCGAGACCGATGCTTGGTTTAAAGAATTTAAATCAAATTATTTTCGATGATTTTATTGTGAATTTTGTGATGTCTTAATATGTTGTTTCTCTTTCTGTAATGTTTTATGTAAACCACTTTGAATTTTCTTGCAAATGAAATGTGCGATCCAAATATACTTGTCTTGCCTTTCCTTGTTGTGTTGATTCAGTTGCCAGTTGTGGCTTTTTACCTTGTATCTTGCTTGTTGGACTTGTTAATTTAATATTTTTGATTCTATGAGTCTTGTTCGCCCTTTTTTTTTTTTGTTTTGTTTAGGTTTTTTTTTGTGAATAAATAGTGTTGTCTTTGGAGTCCATCCTGCAATCATGCCTGGACTCCCTCCCCCTACTTCCCTCCTTTTGAGTCCTCACCCACGTAATATCCCTGACACCTTTTGGGCAGGGTTAATAGGTGTTTGAATGCGTTTTATGTCTTTGATCTCAATTAACCCAAAACCGTGCATCAAGGTTTGGGAGTTCATTCAGACTGGCATCTTTGACATGCTAGGAACACCTGGACAAGAGAAGAAAGGCTAAGGGAGCTAATTGGGAGATGCAAGGGACTTGACTGAGGAAAATGGGTGGATGCAAAAACCTAACGGGACAGACACATCACACACAAGGAAAACATGACAAAACTGAATCCAATCAAAACCAATCAACAAAGACACGCACACAAATTCAGAACATCCATATCTGAAGAGCTCCCAATGCCGTTATTTGTCACTTTGCAGACTGTAAAACACAGCTTTGTTTTCATTTGCTTTCACACCAATTCGTTGTGGTGTGTTTCAGCATGTTACTGGCAGTCACAGCAATTCCATTTCAGGCCACCCTAGATAAGCAAACATAACTGGATGCTCAGAAAGAAGTTTAAATTATCAAAATATTTGCCTTGGCAATCAAGATGTGGATGAGAAACCTAGTTGTCTGTCGGAAAATGGATTGCATGCAAATTAAATCTGACAGAAAACCCATCCATTATCCGAGCAGCTTATCCACATAAGGGTCGCGGACGTGCTGGAGCCGATCCCAGCTGACTTCGGGCAGCAAGTGAGGTACACCCTGAACTGGCTGCCAGCCAGTCGCAGGGTACCAACACCAACCATTCACACTCACACTCAGAACTAGGGACAATTTAGAGTGTTCTATTAATCTACCACATGTTTTTGGAATGTAGGAGGAAACCAGAGTACCCAGAGAAAACCCACGCAGGCATGGGAAAAACATGCAAACTCCACACAGGAAGGTCTGGACCTGGAATCGAACCTCGAATGTCTTTACTGTGAGACGGATGTATTAACCAGTCAATCACCATTCCGTCCTGACAGACTGTAATCAGGTGGAACACAACTTCGATGCAATTTGTAGTAGTACAGAAAGCATTTTTTATTCCCCGGCATCTCTCACTCACCACCTATAACTCTTTTCAAGCTACAGTGCTGTGAAATTGTATTCGCTCCTTCCTGATTTTTGTGTTCTTTGCATATTTCTCACATACAAAGGCTTCAGTTCATCAAACCAATATTAATATCATACGGAGACTACCTAAGCAAATACAAAATGCGGTTTCTAAATACCAATTTAATTTATTAAAGCACCCAAAAAAATCCCAAACTCCCTGTCCCTATGTGAAAAAGTAATTGCCCCGCCTTTGTTAAATCACAAAGTATCTGTGACTATCGACAATTTTGGGAAAGATTAGTTCAATTTCATAGGCAACACCTTAGCACCACATTTGTTAAATGAAGAAATCACATGAATAGAATCTGTCAGACAAAGTGAAGTAGGCTACAAGAGCTCAAGAAACAAATGCATCATGCCACGAACCAAAGAAATTCAAGAAGAAATTAGAAAAAAGTTTTTGAAATCAAGCCTCTCGGGCATCAGAAAAGTACTGTCGGAGGCATTATCCACAAATGAATAAAACTTAACAGTGGCATAACTTATATTCCCAGGAGTGGTCGACCAGCTAAAATTACACCAAGAGTGTGACGTCAACTCATCCAGGAGGTTGCAAAAGAACCGAGAGCAACACCCAAATGACCTCGCTGGCCTCAGTTCAGGTCAGTGTTCACGACTCTACGATACGAAAGGCACTGGCCAAAAATGGTATCCATGGGAGAGTGTTCCGAGGTGAAAACCACCGTTGTCCACAAGGAACACAAAGGCTTGTTACACATTTGCCAAAAGACATCTGGATGATCCTCAGACTTTTGGAACAATATGTGGAATGAGTCAAAAATTGAACTTTTTGGAAAATGTGCAGCCCGTTACGACTGGGGTAAAAATGGCACAGCATTTCCATTGAAAAAAAAAACAAAAAAAAAACGATGTCAACAGTGAACCATAGTGGTGGCAGTCTGATGGTCTGTGGTTGCTATGCTTTCTCAGGGTCAGGACAACTTGCTGTGATTGATGGGACATTGAAGTCTTCTGTCTACCAGAAAATCCTGAGGGAGAGCGTCAGATAATCAGTTTGCACCCTCAAACTCAAGCACTCTTGGATCATGCAGCAGGAAAACAGTCAACACACCAAGCCCACCTCTGAATTGCTCAAAAAAACAAAAACAAAATGAAGTGTGGCAGGATAGGGAGTCGCGCTCCCTCCGACAGGGGCAGTGTGGCATGCTGGCCATCAATTACAGGACGTCCGCTTATAAATACACCTGGTTGGAACTTCCTGTTTCTCTTCCTCTTCTTCCCTCTCCGAGTCGTCAGACACGTGTGTGTTGGCCTGCGCTTGTACGGTGCAGAGTGGGGGGTTGGGTTTCGCCACAAGATATAATTTTGCTGCTCTCCTATTTTTATTCTTTTGGACACTGGGCGCTTTGTGCTTTTGTTTATTCCACTTCTCGCTCCGTTACAGCAGCATGGTGGTGTGACAGGGAGATGGGCTACCTCAGGTGTTCCTTGTGAGCGTTGTGCGCTCCCGGTGGTAAGACACTAAGTCGTCTGCCCTTTATACACTTTGCTGTTGATGGGCTGGTGAGGAAATTAATAATTATTATCTCTCAGCCGTTACAAGTGGAGTCGGGCTGAACTATCCTCCTGCTGTTGTTGAACACACACACCTGGTTTCCATGTGCCGGCGTCTCGCTGCTGGCGTTGTTGTGAGACAGCCTTTTATCTTGTCTCATGAATAGTGGACACAGTTCTTAAACTGCCCCTTTTCTACCTTTTTAAGTATCGGGGTCTCTATCTCCGCTAGTTTTAATCCTGAAGCTCTTGGGGTGGAAAGTAGTGGCTGAACCTGCTTCCGCAGCGTTTCCCCACAGTTGCAACTGAGGCGCTCTGACTGTCAGCTGCTTTTTAGCAATATTGCAGACAGTGATTCATTTGACTTTATTATTCTTTCTCGTGTTCTTCTCTCTAAAATCGACAGTAAATTTGATTTTTGGTTTGTATTTGTCTATTAATTATTTTAATTTGAATTTAATTTGGGTTTTATTTGGTCTCCCGTAGGAGAAACTTGTCTCGGAGGGCAGGCCTTCCGCGCTGCTACATGCATTGGGCAACACATACCACATACAATACATACAGTGCCGGACAATATATACTCTACACACATTGGACAATACATTACAGGCATATGCACACCCCACACTGCTCTCATGTCATCCTGCTTGTCTGTCTGCCTCCCTCCAATTGTTTGTTAATTAAGCTGATAGCCTGCGGTATGAATGAGTTTTTATATCGGTTTAATTTGCAGAAAAGAGTCCTATACTATATATTTGGGGTATATGTTAGATTTTGTTGGTAGTGGTATGGGGCAGCCATAGTTGCATGTTTTTAAGCATGTGTTTCTTTTTATTTGACAGGTGCTGAGGGCCGGGCCCGGTAAGGCAACGGTTCCTGGTGGTGGGCCTTTATCACTTTCTGGTGTGTATGAGGGGGCGGGGTGGGTGTTTGTTGGCACACTCACTGTACAATGTGTTATGGGAATGACACACTCTTTTGCATGTCTTGTTAAAAGAGCTGGATTGGTGAATGAGCTGTTGACAGAAAACTAAAACAGTATTTTCAAACATTTACTATGCGGTGTGATGAATGTGACACCCACACCCCACGTCAACTCTCGAGCTAGGCCAGTTGGGGGAGCTTTATTTGACTCTGCAGGGGGGAAAACATGTGGTCTACAGCTGCCCGGTGTCCACGTTTCAGAAAGGCTTGACAGAACATGAAAAACATGACAAAGAATGTCAAGGGCCAGGAGGCAACATAGTGGCATTGTTTCAAAACCACAGGCCAAAATGTAACACGTATACCCCAGGGCCCATTATGGATACCATAATAAGAGAGTGAAGAATCTTACCGAGACTTGAACATAGACAAAAATCAATAAAAATCACAACAAACGCATGCCACATTAAATTTTGGGCAAACATATTGTAAATGTAGCTTTAGCTAACCTTGCCACTTGTACGTTGTTACATTGTGTGCCTCTTGTCTTTATTTTGAAACAACATCAATATCCTCACAATGTCCTCTATCATTACTACTTTGGGTATGTAGAATGTACAAGTAGAAAAGGCTAACCTATTAAATGATATATGTTGAATCGTGCAATATTTACACCTTCACTCCAGCTCCTTGAACTGTGTATTTGATGTTACAATTATAATGAATGGAAAAACACAAATGACATTTAACTGATAATAGATTTTTTTTTACATTATGTTTGTCTTTGCAAAAAGAAAGAGACATTAAGTGATCGATTGCCATTCCAACACTGATGAAACATAACTTGTTCATTACTCCTACAATTACTCTGCTAAATTATCTCTGCAAAACTTTTCTTGGTCTACTTGCCATTTTTCTCCATTTTAGTCTTCAGTGATCAGGCCTAATTGGAGGCATGTTACCTACTTCTGGCAAATAGACCGTTATTGAATAAATATTCACAATAAACTGGAGAGTTAGATTTAAGGTTTGATATGAATTCTTAAGAACACATAAATATATGTGGAAAATTAAGCTCTCAAAATGATAAACTTCTCAATCATCATTAGACTAGGCTGGGAGACCCTGGTTCACATGCAAACCAGAGTACGGAATATTTGTGACTAGCTGTTGACAAATTGGTCGTTGATGGCTTTCTTTCCACGTTTACCTCTGGAATTGCAATAGCATGTTAAAATAAGTCATACCTCTGCTACTCACGCAGATAAATGGCAGTGGCTCAGAGCAGTCCAACAGACTCATGACTGGGTGCTGATCTGACCGGGTCTGCAGCGTTCTGCAGCCTTGCAGCGCCATCTGCTGGTGTTTTGCTGCTCACACGACACACAAATGCCAAGGAGCACAGTCAGACAAAAAAATACAAGAGTTTCCAACAAAACATCTGAAAAATTGGGTAGGGAGGAGAACTATAGGTGTTCATAAAGAAGAAACACGTTAATCTCAATGCAGAAGAAAACAAAAACATGCAATTGATACTGCAATTATGCAACATCTTGGAAAAAAAATGGGCTGCTTGTGAGCAGGACCAATTCTATGGTGAGCGAGGGGGGCTCAGACCCAGCATGTTGTGTTCTGCAATTAAACTATTAATAAAACAGTTCTTTAAAAAAGAATAATTATGAGGTTTTACATTTATAAGATATTGCTCAATATTGTGAATGTCATCATACTCAATAATTTTCACCTCTGCAAACCTTCAACGAAAACCACTAGGTACACTACACAACATAACTTTCAAAATAAATCTAATTAGTCAGATGGCCTATTGTTTGTGTCAAAGAATAATTCTAATCACTGAAGGGTCAACAGGTCCAGTCTTGGCTTCCACTGTCGAAGCAAAGTGTGATTGGGCAGGACGCTGGACCCGAATTGGTGCCCAAGTGCGTGCGTGTGTGAATGTGAGCCTCCGTAAAGCACTTTGGGCATTGCAGACGTGTAGATAGTGTTCCATGATTACACTCCATTTGGTCTTTATTTTATTTGACATCTAGCCCCACCAACCCTCAGATGCAAAGTTACCAAAGGCCCGATTATTAGATGTCTCTAAAACATTCTCTCGAGCGATATCTGATTGGAAAAAAGGTCTTTGAATTCAAGCGCAGATATATTATATATAATATTGAAACCTATTCAATATTTACGGGTAAAATCTTTGTTTGTAGTCAACACCATGGACAGGCGTGTCACAGACGCTCCGATTGTGATGTGAAACAGATTGACAACCAATTACGAAGTGAGCTGGACCTTCCACTGCTGCAGGGCTTCTCAGATGGAATGTACGATGTGTAACATGTCTCCCTGTCATTGACCACAGTTAAAATGACAAGATGATTTTGCAATTGCAATGTAACTACCACATATCACTGTCCGCCTAATTCTTTCTTCATGTATTACGACTACATCCATCCATCATCATCCATTACCCGTATCACTTAGCCTTACAAAGGTCACAGTCGTGATGGAACCTATCCCGGGTGACTTTGACCAGTAGGCAGAATATACCCTGAACTGGTCGCCAGCCTCTCGCTGGCTAGTAGTGGCGATTGCTCTCGGACTGCAAGGGAAGCTCGGCTTCCCCTAAAATGTCAAAGAATAAGTGATCAAATATATGAATGTAAATTTCATCGTGTGTACATGTCATTGACTAAATATGCGCTACAAGATGCTCAACTTTTGTTCCGAATCAGCTTCTTCTTACTGGTTACGACGCGACTGCCTTCTCATTCATTCCCGCAGCTTCGCTGTGCTTTAAACCAGGGGTCCCCAACCTTTTTTGCCCCACGGACCGGTTTATGTCAGACAATATTTTCAGGGACCGGCATTTAAGGTGTGGCGGAAATAATACAACAAAATAATATGGTATGAGCTGCATGAAAACGGTGGTGTTTTCGAAATATAATAATAAACACAAGGAGCGTCTAATCTGGCCGCAACACTGATCGCTATGGTAATGTTTAATGCCTTCAAAATACGATACAATGCAAATTCAAAGTGCATGAAAATGACCACTCACCACAGCCCCGAGCTTGATTTTCTGCAACCAGACGGTCCCATCTCGGGGTAATAGGAGACAATGACACCTCAAGTGTGTGTTTTGCGTCAAGTCTACTTCGTAATTTTGTTTTAGTCGCCGTTGCTGCAGAAAATCCCCGCCTCACACAGGTAGCATGTCGGAAATAGCAACAGTGCTACTGTGGCGATCTCAGAATATTCAGCCATAACTTTAATCCAGTTGTCTCGAACGTACTTTTAAGGCCGCCGTCATTTGATCTCCAGCAGTTTTTTTACTCATTTTGCGAGCTCTGACGTTTTGTTTTTAAGCGGAATCGGTCACGTGACAGAGAAGCGTGGCTTGACGTGTGTCAAGCGTGACACACACGGATGTAACGGAGAATCCGGTAATTTTTCAAAATAAAACATCTTTCGTATTCCGAAATAAATCAAACGGAATTAAGGCAAGTTCTTTCTGTGCGGCCCGGTACCAAATGCCCTGCGGACCGGTACCGGTCCGCGGACCGGCGGTTGGGGACCCCTGCCCTAAATAATTCCAAAAGTGGCCCGCTTGAGGCCAATGTTTCTTGCCCACACAAGCCTCCAGGGATTTGTATGTTCAAATTTAACATACTGTAGTGACAATGTTAAAATGATTCTTATTTACGGAAAAGAGCAAAAATAGAAAGTGAAACTAAAAATATACAAAAACACTTCATGCATATACAGTACATCAACTGTTTTTTGGTGTTGGAAATGCCCTTTGTCTGTAGATGTGCATTTTTTAAAATCCTTTAATCAGTAACACATCACAGATGGTCACAATAGCGGTGCAGTACATGAAGAGTAAGTAGTTATCTTGAACAACACAAAATGGGGTCATGCATGCCCAGACTGAACCCTGACACATATACATGTGTTGTGCTTTTAGAATCAACCATTTTCAGAGTCTATACCAGGGGTGTCAAACATACGGCCCGCGGGCCGGAACCGGCCCGCAAGTAGGTTCAATCAGGCCCGCAGGATAATGTAAAAGTGAAAAAAATGCATTAAAGACACAGAATTAATATTTTTAATCAGGTGCAATTCATTGAGTATCCGCAAGGGGACACTGTTTTGATCAGAGAAGAAGACAACAGCAGCCTCAGTCTGTCACTGAGACAGACCCATGACAGCAGACGCTATCAATAGCACTCTCACATTTACACATTTAATAGCACTCTCCTTAGTTTGTAAGGTGTAGGCAGGGATTACATTTAGATTTTATATGCACATGTAAATGGTTTAAAACTTCCTTTCTTTATAAATCTCGTTTAATCTTAAAGTTACTTACTATATTTTTCAATCCCAATTACTTGTTAAAGTTTGTACAATCAGTGGGATCAGTTGCAATGCATATATGTGAATGACAAAAGTAAATTGCACATTTGTCGAAGGAAATGTAAGGTGCTTCATGAAATGTTTTGTAAAAGATATGTTCATTAAATTTCAACATTTTCCTAATGTTCTTGTGCTTCTTTATACCAAAACAAA